CTATTTACTTGTATTAAAAATTTCATAATTAAATATTTATTAAAAAAAATGGGACTTTGCCGCTTTGATACCATCTCAAATGAAAAATAATTAATTCTCCGAAAAATTTAATCTTTTAGATGAAAATACATGAATATTTTTATATTATATCTCATGTCTATAAAAATTATTATATATAAAATTACACTTTTTTTTGGTAAACAATAAAATTACACATAAATCATAACGAAAGCAACGAACTACAGCTAATAACTAAATTTTACATTAGGTTCTATAAGAGTTATGTTGTAGGAAAAATGATTGTATAATATTATAGAGATTCGTTTTGCGTACCTTAATTTTTTATTTATTTTTTGTTTTAAAAAGTATGGGTCCCACAAAATATTATTAGTGTAAAAAAGTTTGTTGTGTTATATTAAAGTATAAAACCAAATCCCTTTTACATTTGAGAAACCCGTTGTTTTGCCCCCGCAAAAGCGCTTCTGCGGTGGTAACTAGTGCAGGCTGCAACTAATGTTTTGGAGGCTGATCTAAGTTGGGATCCTGAATTTGTGTGCCGCTCCTATTTTTTTTGTACTGCATTCATTGCGAACATTAAACTTATGGGGTGTTTGGTACGCGGCATTTGGCCGGATTCCCGGGAAACTGAATTTTTCTAAATTTTAAATTTTCGAATATTATCGTAAACTGAATGTAAAAATCATATTTTTGAAAATTGAGATTCCCGGACAAATAAAAATTTCTCCTGTACCAAACGCCCCCTTAGGTCCTAAGATTGAACATGGAAATTTGAACGACCCAAGGAGACCTATATGGGGTCTACAGATATAATAATATTACATGGCCATAATCAACCAAGTTTTCAACGTCAATTCAGTGATCATAAATTTTCTGACCATTTTATTATTCAATAGGTTTAAGTCTTTGCCACATTCAAGAGTTCAGAAATCATATACATAAATAAGTACACACGTCATAAGCACACACGGCGTTGAAATGCAAAATGTCGCTAGAAAAAGCTATATGAAACCCCACTTTCAACCTATTAAAAAATAAATGAAAAAAATGTGTGTCATTTTAAAAAATGTAAAGTTGTGTCATTTTAAGAAAGAAAAAGAGATAGATAAAGGAGGAGAAATAGTTGACAAAAAAATAGAGGTGTGGGTCTCATCTCTTTGTAAAAGTGAAAGGATATAAGTTGTGTCATTTAAAAGGATAAACATTTTTTTCAAAATAAATATTACTAATTTAATTCTTCCTTAAAAATTTTATTGATAATTTATTATGAAATTTCATACATTAAATATATATGTATATTACTTAGTAAAAATTGAATTAGAATTACAACAATTATTGGCATAAATGGTAAAAAAAAATGCTGTCAACTAAATTACTTGAAGTTTAAAAGTCTGTTTAAGTTCTATTGCTGATGAATTACGAACTCTATCAATACCCGTTAATTAGAATGTACATTAGGCCAAATGCTTCCACGTAATAATGCAATATTTTATATCAAGTAGTCGTCACATCTTTATTCTTTAAATCTTAAATCCATGTCAGTAATATTTGCCATTTCCAGTAGGGGTGTTCATAGTCTGAATTGAATTAGTTTTGGAAGCAAAAATCATCTCATCTAATCCCTTCGGTTTGATCATGTAATCATCCATTCGGTTTGAATTTTTTTTTAAATCCGATCCAATTCAATTTTTTTGGGTTTGGATTGGATAAAATTAGTTTCATGATTATTATGCAAATTACATCTTTTGTATATATTGGTTTTGTAAAAAAAAAAAATTGAAATACAAAAGCATTATTAAACGATAATATATATTTTTTTTAGCAATGAGATACGAAGCTCTATACAGATAAAATTTTGTTGATGGGATGTGACTAGATTTTTTTTTTAGTTTAGTTGATGAGTTAATGAGTCTTAGGTTTAAAATTTTTTGGGTTATGATTGGAGAAAAGCCCAAGTAGGTAAAGGGGAATTAATATATTGGATCGATTTTCATCAACCCATTCGAAAACCGATCCAATCCAATTAAAATTTGCGATTTTTTTTCAATTTTCGATTTTCGATTTATTCGATTATCGATTTTTTGGTTTAGTCGCCGCGGTTTGAATCGATTTGCATTGGTTGATGAACACCCCTAATTTTCAGTTCAATGCTAATCATTTCACATCGAGATTAGACAGCTTACAATTGGCTGAATTTACTTTAAATTAAATTTAATCATAAATTTGGACTTCCCCACTATAATGCAAAAATCAGTCTTTTTAACCATTGTATTTTTTTTATCAAAATAAGTATCATTTTGCTCCAGTTCCAAAATATTTTATCAATTTTCTTTTTTTTAATTGTTGACCAACTCATATACTTGAGTACATGACTTTATACTTGAGTACATTTCGTATTCTGGATTTTTTTAACATTTATTCAAGTATAGGATCCATATACTCGAATATAGGACCTAAATATTCAAGTATTTATTGTTTCACGCAATATACTTGAGTATATGAGCATGTACTCGAGTAAATGTTTAAAAAATTTCCTACACGAACTTTCCAACGCGTAGCTCTCAATAAGTTAGGTGGAATAAAAAAAAGAACATGATTCATATACCCGAATTAAAAGTTATAGCCTTTCAAAATTTTACTTTAAAATTTCTAAAATCTTGTAATGCCAATAGGTTTTGTGATATCCACAAATCTTCCCCTTAGATTACCCAAGTCAAGTCCATAATATTATGTGTATATGACTATAGAAACTTGTTTGATCCCAAAAATCTCGTTGAAAAAATTTTAATTGTAAAACTTCGAAATCAGGTGTCCAAATCAGGTCATAACTTTTAACTCGGGTATCCAAATCAAGTGCTTTTTTATTTCACATAACTTCCCGGAGGATTATTTGTTAATGTTGGAAAGTAAAAATTTAAATAACATCATTCGCAAATATAAAATATGTCAAACGGTGCATAAAGAAGCATTTTTTAGACCAAATCTCCTATGAAGTTTTACCGTAAAATTTTCAAAATTTTGTAATGGAAATAAGTTTTGTGATACCCATAAAGCTCTTCCTTAGGTCACCCGAGTCAAGTTCAATATTATGAGTATGATTATAGAAACTTATTTGATCCAAAAAATTGGTCTTCCAAACTTTTACGATTAAATTTTTTTCCACGAGATTTTTTGGATCAAACAAATTTCTATAGTCATATACTCATAATATTGGACTTGACTCTAGTAACCTTAAGGGGCTTTGTGGGTATTATAAAACCTATTGTCATTACAAAATTTTAAAAATTTTAGAGTAAAACTTTGAAATGCCATAATTTTTGATTTGAATGTCCAAATCAGGTGTTTTTTTTATTATTATTCCACATAACTTTTCAATTGAAAAATTCCTGTAGAATTTTTTTTGAACATTTACTCGAGTACAATGCCCATACACTCGAGTATATTGCGTTGAACAATATATACTCGAGTATTTTGATCCTATACTTGAGTAAATGTTCAAAAAAATCCAAAATACGAAATATACTCAAGTATATGGATCAATCAATAGTCAAATAAGAGCAAATTGATAAAATATTTTGGAACAGGAGCAAAATGATATTTATTTTGATCAAAAAAGACAATGGTCAAAAAGCTTGCAAAACTAGCCAAGCATGCACCATTTTTCAGTTGAGAAATAAATTTTTTATTTTATATGAAATAATTTTATCTCGTATAACATATAAAAAATTGAATAAAATTCATTAAAGAAAAGAGAGAATTTTTTACCCATTTTCTTTTGTCTGGATCAGATGAAAAAAATTATTTAAGACATATTTCTCTTTCCAGCTACCTGAGATGAAATATAGCTAAACAAAAGGGAAACAAGAACATTAGCGTTGCGTGTCAAGAAGTTACTGCTGGATCTGGATCCTCTCAGTGAAAATTCACGTGACTATGTTGTGTGGGGAATCATAACCATACAAAGATGGATCAATGGTAATAAAAGAGGAGAGAGAAAAAATGTTAAAATAGGTAGTTACGAAATCATAACCGTTGATTTACCTTTGTATGGTTGTGATCTTCCCACATGATCATATCATTTTTTTTTTTTGCACATGAAAAAATCCATTTCCATTGTGTTTTAGTTTTTTTTTTTTTTCTTAAAATTATTTTATAGAATAGTTAAGGAAAATGTTATTTTTTTTTTAAAGTTAAAAATCAAAACAGAAAATAAAAACAACTCACACACATGTTCTCTAAATTTAATTCTAAATATAAAAAAATAGTATTACAATTTTTTTATTTTTTTTTTTACAAAATAAGTCTTACTAAACTAATTTTTTATTTTTTTTGTTCTTTTTAAAAATAGTAATCAAACAGAATCTAAAACTCAAGTCAAAGGTGGTATTGATCACTTTATTGAATCACATGATTAAAAAAATAAAATAATATTGGAGTTTTCATTACCATCTTAAAAATTGAAGTCCCAATTTAAGATGGTTTTGAATTTTGTAAACAGTAAAAAAAAAAAATCTCATATAAACATATATTATATAGAATCCACCTCTATTAAAAAAAATATTGTACGAAAATTAAAAAGGTCATTATAGGAGAAAATAATTCTCTTATAACAAAAAAAAAATTATTTTTCCATTGAAGATATAGATTTTTATGGGCCCAGCGTCCTTAGTTATGTAGCTCATTGATTAAGAAAAAAGTCAGCTGTAAAAATTAAATTAAATTAAATCAAATCTGTAATATGTATAAAATAAAAATCTGTAATAGAGAATTGGCTTTCAACCTTTATTTATTCCTGTCAACCAAATAGAATAATATCGTATAATTAACATCTGAAACGTTTTCTATATGTATATTTCGTTTCATTTCATTTGCATTACATCAAACATCATATTCAATTTTGACCATGAAGCAAAACCAGAGAAGGCATGCGTATCTGTTCTGCAAGTAGTAGGCTCTGGAAAATATATCAATGAGGAGGATTACAAACCTAGGGCTAGGGGGGAAGAAAATTGAAAACACTAGTAGTGGTAGCTAATCGAGGGACAAGAAAATGTAATTAGCCCTTCAAGTGAAAAATTGCAAAAGGGCTCTCACATACAAAGTTAAATAAATAAATACTATGTAATTCAGAAAATGACAAAAGAAGGTTAAAAATAAAAGGGAAAAAGCACACACACAGATGGGGGGAAGACATTAATGCTGCCACAATGAACCCTCAAAGCCAGAAAGAATCATATTTTCTGAGTCCGGCATTGAAATCTGATCCCCAATAAAATACCCCCCACAGTCCCTGTCATCATAAATGCTGTGATACCAAGGGTGAGGATAGGGCCACCCATCACCCGGGTCGAAAAACACGAACTCTTTACTCGGGTCGGGTAATTCGAAACTCGTTCCTAAAGGTGGCAGCTCCACTATTTCACCCAGCTCCTCTGGGGTTGAAGGGTTGCCGGAGGACACCGCCAATGACGATGAAGACGAAGACTGAGACAGCGACGACGATGACGACGAAGAAGAAGAAGAAGAAGAGGAACGACGCGACGACTTCGTTTGGGGTTCGAAAACCTCGACGGTAGCGGCTTTGGCGGCGGCGGCTTGAACATCTCGGGGCGAGTTAGAATCGGGTCGGGGCAGTGAACCGGCGAGTTCGGGGAAGTTGAGGATGGCGGAGCTGCCTTTGATGGCGAGCGCCGCCACGTCATGGGCTCGCGCGGCCATCTCCGGGGTGGCGAAGGTGCCAAGCCAGATCCGGTTCTTCTTGCGAGGCTCGCGGATTTCGGATACCCACTTGCCCCAGGCCCGCATTCGGACCCCTCTGTAAACCGGGTGCTTGCTACTGCTATCTCTGGGCCGCTTGGGCCCCTTCTGATCCGGGTCGGGTAATCGGGGCTCCGAGTAAGAGTGTTGGGTTGTAGTGTTAGCGGTGATTGGTACACATGGCGATGATGATGGTGTATAGCAGTTGGTATTTGTCTCTGTCTCTGAGCTTGGTAGCTCAGCCATTACGTTAAGTTAGCTTCTAGCTAAGCCTGCTAGCTTTTTATATTAAGGTACAAACAATGAGTTCTAAATGGCTCTACTTTTGGTTTGGATTGGATTGGACACTGCTGAGTTGGTTGTAGTACGATGCAATCTCTAAATATAGTTGGAGCAGAATGAGAATGAGAGCTAGTGCTTAAGCCAAGATAAGGTGAGAAAGAGAAATTGTGTTTGAGTGTGAGTGAGGAGAGGAAAGAAAGCAATGAGGAGGGTTGGAACTTTGGAGGCCTTGAGTTAGAGAAGGAGGAGAAGGGTTAAGGGGGTTTTATTAGAGGGAGAGATATGAAATAGTATCGGGGGACTTATTTGTAAGTGAAGTAGTGAACCCCACACACGAATGGCTCTGCTTTCAAACCCACACCATAACTTAAATGAGCATGCATATGCATGCATATGATATACCATATTGATATTATGGTACATGCACATCTCCAAGGATCTATCAAAAATAAATTTAAACCCCCCAAAAAATAATAAAAGAAAACATTAGATAGAGAGAGAGAGGTATGTGGATGACAGGGTGAGTTTAAAGTTGGCAATGGAAGGAAGGTAACAAGAGCGAGTGGGTCTTAATAGCTTGACCACAGCCGAAATTAAAGGGTGACAACACAGGCTGGCAGAGGAGGGAGGAAGGGCTGGTTTGACGGATCGGAATTTTCCCTGCTGACATGCCCTAATAATGCCTTTCCCCTCTCTCTCTCTCTTCTTCTTGGATACGCTCACTCACTCCTCTCCTTACATATCCGTCAGAGTCTCGGCATTTTAATTAATCTTTCTACTTTTTTAACACCTATTTCCTTTTTCATCCTCGGGACAACTAAAAATACTATTATTGGGTATTTTGGTACCGAAAATATTTTGAGATTCTTCAAGAAGTGACAATGGTAATTCTACTTATTCACGTTTAGTATAAGATTTTTGAAAAAAAAAATTGTTTATTTAATTTTTTAGAATTTTATTGTGTATAAATTTTCTTTTCGGAATCCCATGTGTTCAGAAAATTTTATATATTTTTTTATACAATTCCAATAATATTTTAACATATCAAATAATTTTTTGATAACGTTTTAAGACAAGTAATTTTCTTACCGTATTCTTGATATTTCCTTAAAATTGACTTTTTTCCTATATTATTAAGAATTATGATTTTTGAATATGAAAAAATTTATCTTCTATTAAATATCCGTTATTGTCCCAATTTTTTTATTTTGTGTTTTTCTTTTGGTTGTCGACATGACTAAGTTACCTGGTGGTAAATTACCTTCATTTTGTCATCTTGCGAATAAAAAAGATGAGAGAACTATTTTTAAGGCGAAGGCTAATGTCACTATATTCACATTGTCACACATCTGACAGCATGAGATAAAGGACTAGTTTTCACTTTTTCAGTAAGCTGGCTTTTTTATTTGTTGACTCCAATTGTTCATGGATACTGAGGCTCGAGTACTTTTGTTTATATATTTTCCTCGGGAGAAAGAAAGCATGAAAGAACAAGAAGAATATCTACTGTTTGTTTTCGTCGTTATACTTGATTTCTGACTTCGGGATAATATAGAATCTGAGCTGTAAAAGAAGGAAAAACTACTATTGTTGGATAGTAATTTTTTTCCTACATATTTATTAATTTTTGTATAACTTATTTTTTATTTTTTATTTTTTTATAAGAGAGTGGATCACATTCATGATTGTATTTGGGGCAGGCAAGAATTACTCTCCTACAATATAAGATTAACAAAGCCATATATGAATTAATGTTTTTTTATATAATAGGAGATAATTTTATTTCCTACGCAAATTATCTCCTACACACATAAAAATATGTGGGATCCAGTGAAAAGAAGAGAAAAAAAAAGAAAATATGGGCCCCGCAAGCATTTGAGTGTGTGTAGGAGATAAAATTATCTCTTATAACATGAGAAACATTAGGAATATTGACCCATTTGCCACAATATTCCATATTGTTTATCAGAATGCCACGCTCCACACAAATTTTTCCAAAATGCCATATCACAAAATCGCTACAACAATAAGTGACACTTGTTTGGACACGTGGCCGTTTCTTGAAGGCCAAAAAAACCCGATGAACAGTGCAGCGAATTTGGCAAGTCAAAGTGGTAGACTGCGCATTCTGGAAAAGCTTCGGCGTTGCATAACTCGCTGGGTTGCTCCACGACTTTGGTACAACTTTTTCCACGTGGCAGACGCTGGCATAACTCGCTACACATTAGATCGAGTATTTTACTGACATGCCACGTGTACAATTCGGCCAACAATACAACGAGTATACTTCTATAAAAGTACCACATTTCATGCCAATTGCAACATTCTGTCGGCGCTCTGAATTTTCGTTGTTTCTATTTCGTCAAGTGCTCTAATTTTTTGTTGTTTCTTTCTGTTGTAATTTTGTCTAAATTTTTTCAAAATAAGTGACGACAATGATTCTGTAATTGGCTAATTGCCATAGTATACTACAATATAAGGAAATATTTTGGTCCTAATGGGCAAGATTTTGAAAAAGATACGAAAATATTTCGCATGAACCTGTAATGTAGTTTTAATAAACCAAGGAAGACAATATATAAGGGTCAATGTCTATCTCGATTGACTGCTAGATGCACCTCAGGACCAGAAAGATGGGTTCCTGTAGAGATTGTTTATGATGAAGATGTCGCGTTAGTAGTAGATGCATTTCGAGATCATCTAGACTCCAAATCTAAGAACTCTATGCGAAACTAGTCTGGTGGACAGTCTAGCTGTCAACATTCTCTGCCTTCCATCCACTCCATCGACATTAACAGGGAGCCACAGGTGAACCCTGAAGACAGGTATGTGTCACCCCTACCCCAACCAATGTCTGCAGAAATGGTTCTTGCCCACGATATGTATGATTATGTCTTGAAGACTATAATTTTGTGTTCCCTACCTTTTTTTTTTTGAAAATATTCCAATCGGTTCATTGCTTCGCAACTAATCCGATTCGGGACGGGTCCAGGATTAAGACTTTAAACCCCTCCCAAAGGTGATACTGAGGACATTTAATACAAAAGAATTCTATTAATTCAACACGTGCCTCAAATAAAGAATTTTCACGTGCAAGCTCATCTCATTCAGCTCACTCAGCTTCGTTAGTGTATATGCATCAAACTAATCATAACAGAACGTAACTAATTCTGTTAGTAGTTTTTGGTTATTATTTTTCTGTTAGATTTTTTAGCTGAGTTATCTATGTCTTTTTTCAATCACCTATATATACTGATAGGTACTGTATAGTTTCTTGATCAATTCAATAGAATCATTTTCAGTTTTATCAGAATATGCAAGTTCTTGATTTTTGTTATGGTAGCAGAGCTCCGAGCTCTGGTACTTTGCCTCTAGTTTTCTTTTCTTCGATCAGTAACAATGGCAGATCCTATTCCTCCTCCTTTGGATTTTCATACTAATCCTTCGAATCCTCTTTTCTTGCATTCGAATGAAAATCCTTCATTAGTTCTTGTATCACCTCCTTTAACTGGTAACAATTACCATACTTGGGCTCGCTCAATGAGCATAGCATTGCTTTCAAAGAACAAGATTGGTTTTATTAATGGATCTATAATAGCTCCTGCACTTGATGATGCAACTTATGGTTAGTGGCAAAGATGTAACGCTATGGTAATGTCATATATCCATAGATGTATTTCAGAATCAATTGCCAAGTCTATCTTATTGGTTGAGTGTGCTCGTGACGCGTGGCTGGAAAATCTGTATTTCTTGGATACAAAGAGGGAACCAAAGGTTTCTTACTCTATGACCTTTCTTCTCATGCCATATTTGTATCCCTCCATGTAATTTTCTATGAAGACCAGTTTCCTTTTAAACACAAACACACATCCACTACCCACCCTTATAACCTACCTTCTGACCTACATTATCATCATGAATTTGATTCTTATCAATCCCTTCATTCAAACACTTCAACACCAAATAATTCAACACAAAATAATGAACCTTCCATGTCTCCCAACACCACAACAACTAAACCTACAACCCAATTACCCTTTACGGAAGTGTATGATAACTCTACATCCACTGTTTTTGACAACAATGCATCTATACCATCCACTATTTTTGAGAACCCTTGTCTTAGACGCTCTTCTCGTCTTCGAACTACTCCAAGCTATATAATGGACTATCACTATGGCCTATCTGTTGCACAACATGATTATTCATCCACAGGTATGCATCATTCTGTTCCTACTACCATTTCGCATCCTCTATCAAATGTTATAACCTATGATCCCTGTGGTAATTCATATAAAAGTTTCTTTCTTAATTCACTTGTCCATTCTGTCTTAATTCACTTATTCTCATGCTGTTAAGCATGATCACTGGCGCAAGGCAATGGATAATGAGCTTTCTGCTCTATCCAATAACAATACATGGTCCTTAGTTCATCTGCCAGAAGGAAAACAACCCATAGGATGTAAATGGGTTTTTAAAATCAAGTATCGATCAGATGGTTTTGGTTGCCAAAGGATTCAATCAAATGGAGGGAGTAGATTATTTTGATACATTTTCCCCAGTTGCAAAGTTGACCTCTGTACGAACTCTTCTTATTGTTGCTGCATTGAAAGGTTGGCACCTTGAGCAATTACACGTAAACAACGCCTTCTTGCATGGTGATTTAAACGAAGATGTTTACATGGAGCCACCTCCAGGTCTTACAGCATCTGATTCCTGGCTTGTTTGCAAACTAGAGAAGTATTTGTATGGGCTTAAGCAAGCTAGCCGTCAGTGGTATGCTAAGCTCTCTTCGGCTCTACTTTCTCTTGGTTACAAGCAAGCTCATTCAGATCATTCGATGTTTACATTTGCCACTGCAGATTCATTCATAGTTCTCTTGGTTTGCGTGGATGATATTATTCTTTCTGGTAACAACATTCTAGAAATTGAACAAGTCAAAAATTACCTTGATCTTAAGTTTCAGATAAAGAACGTCGATAGTCTTCGTTTCTTCCTTGGTCTTGAGATGGCTCGCTCCAAAGCTGGTATTGTCCTTAATCAGCGCAAGTATACACTTGAATTACTCTCTGATGCTGGTTTATTGGCTGCTACACCATTGTC